CCCCTAGGATGTAAAATTACATTGAATTCGGCAAGAGAACCGTCTTACTTTTTTATTTTGCTTTTAACCGTGCCTCAAAGTCAAATTCCAGTAATGGAACTGAACTATTTCAAAACGTGGTTGCAGCAAAAACAACAACCCCCCCCAGTGGTTGTGCTGCAGAAAAAGTGTGAATGTTAGGAGAGGGAGGGGGGATTTTGGTTCTGCAGCTGCAGGGAGTGCCAGACATGGGGGGGGGAGTACAATGGAGCTGGACTGCCCCCCCCGAAAACCAGATGTTGGACTGCAGGCTCAGTTTAAGAAGAATCCAGCCACGCTTCTGTCGTTTGGGGTCTGTGGCAAACCCCCCCCCCAGGCTGTGATGGGGCTGGTGAGCCTGGTACCATTTGCACGGGGGGGGGGCGGCACACATCACGCTTGATGCCCCCCAACTGAGTAGCCATTCCTTCCTCCGCCCCCTCCCACCTAGAGAGCACCTGGGTCACATACAGGGGGAGTGGGGGTGGAAGGGGACTCTGGTTCTCCTGCCCCCCCCAAACTGCCTGGACACAGAAAATCCCTTCCCCTCCCCCGCCCCCCGCTTTCTATTTTCTATCTTATTTCCAAATGTTTTGTATCTAAGAATTCCACATATTTGTATTATATAATAAATGACAAAATAAAGCCAGTAATATAATAGCCCAATTTTGAGCCTTGTATGTTTATGTGGCATAAAAAAAAAACAGAGACGTCACCTTGCCGACAAAGGTCCGTATAGTTAAAGCTGTGGTTTTCCCAGTCGTGATGTATGGAAGTGAGAGCTGGACCATAAAGAAGGCTGATTGCCGAAGAATTGATGCTTTTGAACTATGGTGCTGGAGGAGACTCTGGAGAGTCCCATGGACTACAAGAAGATCCAACCTCTCCATTCTGAAGGAAATCAGCCCTGAGTGCTCACTGGAAGGACAGATCCTGAAGCTGAGGCTCCAAGACTTTGGCCACCTCCTGAGAAGAGAAGACTCCCTGGAGAAGACACTGATGTTGGGAACGATGGAGGGCACAAGGAGAAGGGGACGACAGAGGACGAGATGGTGGGACAGTGTTCTGGAAGCGACCAGCATGAGGTTGACCAAACTGCGGGAGGCAGTGGAAGACAGGAGGACCTGGCGTGCTCTGGTCCAGGGGGTCACGAAGAGTCGGACACGACTAAACAACAACAACAGCAATATTTATGTGAAGGTTTTTTGTCATCGTCGTCTCCTAGGGAGCAGCAGGAGGAACTTTGGGGGGAGGGGCTGGCTGGGCGTTTTGTAGTATTAATGCTGTTTTTTCCATTTCCAAAATACGGAACTTCTAGGTGAGCTTGTAATTTTTTGCTTTTCAAAAAGCTTCCGGGCATTTTGGAGGAGGAGAGCAGCTGGACACAGAAACACACAGTTGCACAAACACACCTCTGCCCGCTTTTTGTTTTTATCCTGCAGCATGAAATGAGTAATAAATCACAACAGTTCCCACAAAAATTCACGAGAGGCTTTTAAAAGCCACGACGGAAGGGGCAGAAGAAGAAGAGAAGAAGAGTTTGGATTTGATATCCCGCTTTATCACTACCCGAAGGAGTCTCAAAGCGGCTCACAATCTCCTTTCCCTTCCTCCCCCACAACAAACACTCTGTGAGACGAGTGGGGCTGAGAGACTTCAAAGAAGTGTGACTGGCCAAAGGTCACCCAGCAGCTGCATGTGAAGGAGAGGGGAATCGAACCCGGTTCACCAGATTACGAGTCCACCGCTCTTAACCACTACACCACACTGGGCAAATGAATTTCTCATCTGCTGTGTTTGGGATCCTGTGTACGTTTCTGGTCTCTTCTCTGCCAAAAAAAAGATGTTGCAGGAGTTGGGAAAAGTTCAGAAAATGGCAAACGTTTCAGCATGACTCCCCGGGTGGAAAAGTTGCAGCGTTTCGGACTTTTTGGAGATAAGGCAAGTAAGGCGACATGGCAGAAGTATATAAAATTATGCCTGGAATGGGAAAAGTAGAGAAAAGGTTATTCTTCTCTTTCTCTCAAAGCATCCGTACTCCTGAGCAAGCAATGGAACTGAAGGCTGGAAGATTTGGGAAAGATGGAAGAAAGTCCTTCACGAAGCCAATAGTTACACGGTGGAACTCCCTCCCACAAGAGTCCCAATAACTAGGATGGCTTTGAAAGAGGATTGGGCAAATTCATGGAGGGCTTGGGGTGGCAACTGGTCAGGATGTCTGGGGGCAGCCCTGCTTCTGAATCCCAGCTGAAGGGGGCCTCAGGAAGACTGAATGTTTTCCTGCTCTCACCCTCCTCTTGGGTTTCCAATAACGGACATTGGGCTGGACACTGGGAGAACAGGGATGTGGGCCTGATCCTGTAGACACTTCTTAGGTTCTTAAGCACAAAGTTCCTTGGAAGGAAGAAGGCCGCTTATTGGTTTATTTTACGAAACGTTTATACTGCTTGGTTGTAAGGGGAACCTCAATGTGGTTTGCAAAAAGATAAAACATTATAATCATTTTTTTAAAATTCAGAACATACGAAAGCAAAAATACCAAAACGGGTTGAAGTGGCCTCAACCTTCCTAAGCATCTGGGGCTCTAGGGGTCACCAAACTTTTTCAGCAGGAGGCCGGTTCACTGTCCCTCAGACCTTGGGGGGGGGGCGGACTATATTTTGAAGGAAAAAATGTGAAGAAATTCCTATGCCCCACAAATAACCCAGATATGCATTTTAAGTAAAAGGACACATTCTGCTCATGTAAAAACACCAGGCAGGCCCCACAAATAACTCAGAGATGCATTTTAAATAAAAGCACACATTCTACTCATGTAAAAACATGCTGATTCTCGGACCGTCCACAGGTCAATTTAGAAGGCAATTGGGCCGGATCTGGCCCCCGGGCCTTAGGTTGCCTACCCACTAGGGGGATGGAAAGCTAGCTCTAGAACTCCTTTTTCGTTAAATCTTTTTATTTATTGAGTTTTACATTGCAAATTTTAGATTTAAACATCAACATCATCATTTAGGAATTCCTGAATCCTTTGACTCCCCTCCGGCCTCCATGGTTACCATTATCAATCTTTTTTCAACTGCTTCACTTATTTTCTCTACTTTTCTTAAACAATTCATTTTTACCTTAATTTTTAGTACATTACAAGCGTCACTCAAATCCTGTCAAAGTTTTTAGTAGTTTACAGTGTTCTCTTAATTACATTGTAAAATTTCCCTGTTCCTCCTTAAAGTAGTTCTCTTCCTGCTTTCTGATTTTCCCGATCATTTTTGCCATTTTGGCGTAGTCCATCATCTTCATCAACCATTCGTTTCTGGTAGGGACTTTATCATCTTTCCATCTCTGGGCCAGTAATATCCAGGCTGCTGTTGTTGCATAAAATAAACAGTATTTTCTGCTCCTTAGGTATCTCTGCACCTAAAATTCCTAATAAAACCTCTGGTCTAGAACTCTTTTTCCATGCCAGCTTGCCTCTGAGGATATGCAGAGTGCCCATAGGCAGAGCCAGGCAACAATGGACGCCTCTCTTCAAGGCTTTTAGGTTTCCTCTTCAGTGGTGACGATGACCCTGCCCCACACACTGGTGGGCCAGGGTCTTCTTGCCCCTAGTCCCCACATTGGCACCCTGCAGCCCCCTACCCCATAATAATGTGGGGCTCGCCACCTAGCAGGGGCCTGTGGGCAGAGAGAGAGGCTCAGCTGGCCTTGAAACAGGAGTGGAAGGATGCTGACAAGGACTCTGAGCATGTACAGAGTGCTGGACCCTGAGCTGCTCTCAAATTTGCATTTGGGACACACAGGTGTGCTTGAGCTGCAGGAAATTCAATGTTAGCCGGATGGGTTCAGAGTGACCCCAAAAGAATATATGTATTGGCTGCACACACACAAATATGACCCCCCCCAAATAAATTCCTTCTCCCCACCCAGCAGAATCTAGTTCTCGAAGGAGGCTGGAGAAGGCAGGTGTGTGGGGTTTTTTTTGGGGGGGGATTCACCCTGCAGCCCTCCCGATGTTGCTGCTGCTCCCAGAATCACCCCTGACCTTTGACCCTGCTGGCTGATGGGGGTCCAACCACCTATCTAGGTCAGGCACCCCCAAACTCGACCCTCCAGATGTTTTAGGACTACAACTCCCATCACCCCTAGCTAACAGGACCAGTGGTCAGGGATGATGGGACTTGTAGTCCCAAAACAGCTGGAGGGCTGAGTCTGGGGGTGCCTGATCTAGGGCCACAGGATTAGGGAAATGCCCTGATGATCACCTTGGGGGTGGGGAGTGCTAAGGAATTCTCCATGCACAGGTACGCCCCCCCCATCTGTAGGGAAATGGGGCAGTGTGTGATGGGCTCGGGAGGTTCTGTGCCCCCCCCCAAAGTTCCTGCTGCTTCTGTGCCTGGGCTCTGAACTGGGGAGGGGAAATGCACTCTGCACTCGTTTAGGAGACCCTCGTCTTCAGCACAGCTTCCCCATTAACTGGGTTGGTGGGGCGGGGGGGGGGCGCTAAGCCTGGGCAAGGAATTAAGGCGAGATTCCAGAATCCCCTTCTGACTACACAATCGAGATACCAACATACACACACACACACACACAGAAATAATAACCCCACACAGAGAGGGCTACCAGCTTGGAGATCAAAGAAAGCCAGGATTTAGGGTTCCTTCCTTCCTTCCTACACCCCAATAATTGATGATGACCCCTGCACCTGCAGATGCTACTGCAACCGTCTCCCTTGAAAAGCAATCGCACAAAAGTGCACGCTAACCAGATGCAAACTGCATTTTTATTTATTTATTTCAGCGCGATTTATACCGGGAGCTGCCACCCCCCTCTCTCCTCCCCCCCTCTTTTTTTTATTATCCCGCACCCAACCTCCCTCTCAGCTGTCAAACGCAAGGCCCTCTGGGAGGTGTAGTCCCCTGGTGGCAGCCGCCCGGCACTCTTCCCCCCCACCCCCTGCCGCGGCTTGCAAAGGAAGGAGAGAGAAAATAATAATGCAAAACAGAAAAAAGAAAAAAGAATTGGGGCGGAGGAGGAGAGGAAGGTTTCTGTGCAACCCTGGGACTACATTCCCCATGGTGCACCGGGGCTCAAAGGAGCTGGGCTGTGATTGGGCCCCCCCTTCCTGCAGGCTGCTGGAGAATGAATAAAATTGTACAGTATATTCTGATGTGAGAGGTTTAAAAAAAAAAAAGCAAAAGAAAGAAAGAAAGAAAAGGAGAAAAAAAAATCCTCTCTGCTCCTCCAACCCGCCAGCCCTGGAAGCCAGAGGCACCTCCACATCTTCCCAAAATGGCTACAGCTGTGCACAAGCCTATCAAATGGTGAGTGGGTGCCCCACATCTGGGGGGTGGCAGGTCCCCCCTCCCCCAGGCATGGGGGGCTGGCGAGCGCAGGGAGGAGAGGGATGGATGCCTCGCCGTCTCCCCTCGGCGTGGATGGCTTTGCAGGGCGCGCGAGGGAGAGCGGCGGACAGCCGAGGGGCTCCGGCGTCGCGGCTCCTGGTCCTTGCGAGGGAGGGAGGGAGGGAGGGCGAAGGGGGGCGGAGTGGGGGTGGGTGAGGGGCTCGGGATGGGAGAGGCCGGCCGGGCTTCCATTGCAGCCGCACGGTGCAGGTGGGGGGGCGGCGGCTGCTGCTGCTGCCAGAGGGGCACGCCGGAGATGGGCGCACCGGGAGAGGGTGCCAGCTTGCGCGCGCCCCTGTACAAAGCGCCCGGCAGTTGTGGTGGTGGTTGGCGGGGGGGGGACGCCTTGGGGAGAGACTCCCCCGGGGGCAGCGCGAGCGCGCGCGCGGATCCTGAGCGTGGGCAGGGTGCCCGCCGGTGTTGTGTCTGGGTGCCCTCCGTGCGTATTTGCGCGTGCCAAAAAGGGGTCTTGCACGACCGGCAGCCGGGCATGCAACCGGCTTCCAAGCGAACAGGTGTGCGGAGGTTGGGTTGGGGGGTCACCTCGGCCGCGCCCCCGCCCAACCTCTGCGCCCCTTCCCGACTGCCCCTGTTGTCAGAGGGTCTGTGTGCAAAAGGATTACTCTGCGGTGGGTTCCTTCCCAGGACCAAGGGGTCTGGGCATCTGGGGTGGGGTTTGTTTTTCTTCCCTCCCTCCGCCCCCCCCCAAAAAAACCCCCCAGGATGCAGGAGCTAAAGGCCAGGACCGCTTGGCCTCCCAGCCCCGGTGTGTGTTTAACAATTGCTAACATTTTAACGTGAAGGTTTGGTTTCCAAAAAAAAAAGGGACAGACTTGGGTGCCAAGGCTGGATTATAAAGCCAGTCTGCCCCTCTGAGGCGCTTGTGGGGTGGCAGGAATTGGTCATTGGCGAGGGGAAGGCCCTCTGTGTATGGGCAGAGACACTCTTATCATTACTGTGAGCTGTCCCGAAGCCTTGTCTTTGAAAGCAGGGGGAGTTCTCGCACAAATCCACCCCTTGGGGTACCAACCCGTCTGCCCTTCCTGGACCCCTTGTTTTGCATTTTATCATAAGGGATCCACAAAGGACATCTAGTCCAACCCCCTGCAATGCAGGAATCTTGGCTGAAGAACCCCTGACCTCTGTTTAAAAGCCTCGAATGAAGGAGGCTCCACCACGTTCCTAGGGAGTCAAATAGCTCTTACCACCAGAAAGTGCTTCCTAACGTTTCATCGGAATCTCCTTTCTTGTAACTTGAATCTATTGGTTCAGGTCCCCTGGAGCAAGAGAAAACAAGTAAAGGTAAAGGAACCCCTGACCATTAGGTCCAGTCGTGGCCGACTCTGGGGTTGCGGTGCGCATCTCGCTTTATTGGCCGAGGGAGCCGGTGTGCAGCTTCCGGGTCATGTGGCCAGCAGGACTAAGCCGCTTCTGGCAAACCAGAGCAGCGCACGGAAATGCCGTTTACCTTCCCGCCAGAGCGGTATCTATTTATCTACTTGCACTTTGAGGTGCTTTCGAACTGCTAGGTTGGCAGGAGCAGGGATCGAGCAACGGGAGCTCACCCCGTCAGAGGGGATTCGAACCGCCCACCTTCTGATCGGCAAGTCCTAGGCTCTGTGGTTTAACCCTCAGCGCCACCCACGTCACTTTTGGAGAAAACAAATTGGCTCCCTATTCCATGGGACAGCCCTTCAGATATTTGAAGATGCCTGCCCTACCCGCTCTCAGTCTTCTCTTTTCCAGGCTACACATCCCCAACTCCCTCAGCCGCTCCTCATAAGGCTTGACACCTTCCCTGCCTTCATTCTGGAGCCCTGTCTTCACTTTGTGGCAAGTGGTTCCACAGGTGAAACCGCCTCTTCCCTCTCACCTGCCTTGCCCCTCTGCAATACAGAGAGGGATACTCCTCAGTCACCCCACCCCCATACACCCCAGGCCTGCTATTTCCTGATGACTCCATCAAGGCACTTCTTCTGGCGCAGTGCAGAGTTCGCCTATGGAACTCCCTCCCACAAGGCAGGGATGGCCACCAAGCTGGATGGCTTTAGAAGAGGATTGGCCAGGATGGCTCTGCTCTGCCTCCAGTAAATGATTCTGCAAACCGCAGGAGGGGAGAGGGATCTTGCGGTCAAATCCTGCTCTGTGGGCTTACTACAGGCATCTGATTGGCCACTGCGAGAACAGGATGCTGGAATCAGTGGACCACTGGCTGCATCCTGCAGCCTCTTCCTAAGGGCATATATGAGGCTTAACAGCATGGGCCCCAGGCACACATTTGCATGATGTTTGCATATGTGAAGTTATACATATAGATGCAATTTCCAGCTGACTTTCGGGGGGGGGGGACACATGACAAATTCTGGGTAGCAGGGCATCCTCTGTGCAATGGGACGGTGTCAACAGGTTTTCTGAGCCTGGGATGCTGAATGTGGTGGATTGGGCCCTCCTCTGCTCCACCCATAATCTGTGGCTTATGTTCCCTGGAAAACTGAGAGGCCTCTGGACGGATTAAAGGTAAAGGGTCCAGTCGTGGCCGACTCTGGGGTTGTGGCGCTCATCTCGCTTTACTGGCTGAGGGAGCCGGCGTACAGCTTCCGGGTCATGTAGCCAGCATGACTAAGCCGCTTCTGGCAAACCAGAGCAGTGCACGGAAACGCCGTTTACCTTCCCGCCAGAGCGGTATCTATTTATCTACTTGCACTTTGACGTGCTTTCAAACTGCTAGGTTGGCAGGAGCAGGGACCGAGAAACGGGAGCTCACCCCGTCGCGGGAATTCGAACCGCCGGCCTTCTGATCGGCAAGTCCTAGGCTCTGTGGTTTAACCCACAGCGCCACCCACGTCCTTTAATCTGGACGGATTAAGATGGCTTTATTGGGGAGAGGGGAGCTGCCTCTCTGGCCCTGGGCTTTAATAAAAAAAAGTTACTTATGGGGCATTTTATTTTGAAAAAGAGGGAAATGAGCAGATGATCTGGGCCCCTTGCAAAAGGCTGGAGTTTCAGATCTCCTGAGCTACCCCCTCCACAACATCCCTAGGCTCCACATGTTCTTTGTTACTGCCCTAGAACCAAAAAGGGATGTGGGTCACGTCCCCTCCGCCCATATCTATGTTTGCAGTTGTTTATTTGGAGAGAGTCTGCTTTGGGATTGAGCATCTCGCTGCAGTGGTGCAGCCAGCCAGGCTCTCTGGGCTTTTCAGTGTTTTGCAACCAGATTCTTGCTGGTTTGCACTTGATCTTTCTTGAGGCTTCTTTTGGTAGAGTTCCAGGTCAGAGACCTCTCCAGGTTTTGCTGCTTTGAGTCTTTGTCAGCAAACGTGTGAGAGATTCGGGGTTGAGTTTCTGTTGCTTCATACGTTTGGCCTTCAAGCAGGGCAAGAGAAAAGCGTTCAGGAACGGAGCAGCTGGTTCGGCCCAGAACTTCTTGCTGCAGTTTAATCAGCATGAGCTTTGCAAGAGCTCAGCTGCAGTTTGGGTTAAGAAGCATGAGCTTTGCAAGAGCTCAGCTGCAGCTCAGTTCAGCTTGCCAAGCAGAAAACACTTATGCCTTGTAAGGTGTAAATATGACAACTGTCTGAGTGATCTTGGCTCTTAAGAGAGGTGCAGAAATGTGGGCCTTTCTCCTTACAGTTTAGGCGAAGATTTCTACCGGGAAGCCATTGAGCACTGCCGCAGCTACAATGCCCGGCTATGCGCAGAGCGGAGCATGCGCCTGCCCTTCCTCGACTCGCAGACGGGGGTCGCCCAGAACAACTGCTACATCTGGATGGAGAAGACTCACCGGGGACCAGGTATGGGGTCTAGGGGCCGCGGGTGCTCTCTGAGGAGGGCACCCTGTGCTGGGCGTTGTATATAGAGCGGGCCCTTCTCTGGAGGCCTTGGGGGTCCGCATGTGTGTCCGGAGGAGGGTGGGGGGAGAAGGGAGAAGGAATGTGCAGCAGCCACGAAAAAAGCAAATTCCATGCAAGGGATTCTTAGGCAAGCAATTGAATATAAAACTGCAGGTATCGTAATGCCCTTAAACAAATCGATTGTGTGGAGTAATGCATTTGGAATAACCGGATCCAGTTCTGGTTGCCTTGACTCGAAAAGGAGTTGGAAAAGGTTCAGGACAGGCCAAGGGATCAAGGGGGTGGAGTGTTTGGGACTGCAAGAAAGGTGGCAACGTTTGGGACTTTAGTTGGGATGAAAGTAAGTGAGTCGTGCTATGGAATGGAGGACAGAGGAATGTTTTCCTTCCCTCTCTCCATACGCTGGAACTCTTGGACGTTCCAGCAGAGGTGAATGCTGGAAGATTCAGGACGAATAAAATTCTTTCTTCACGCAGGACAAAGTTAACCTGTGGAACTCCCTCCCACAAGATGGCCGCCAACATAGATGGCTTTAAAAGAGGGTTGGAAAAACTAATGGAGGAGGAGAGGGCCAGTCAGAGGCAGCCATGCTTCTAAATCCTAGTTACTAGAAACCGCAGGAGGGGAGAGTATTGAGTTCAAATCCTGCTTGCAGGTTTCCCACACGCAGCTGTTCAGCCTGGGCTAGACGGGCCCGTGGCCAGATCCAGTAACCCATTCTCATGTTCTTGAAGAACTGCGTGAAGGGGAAGCAAAACACAGCCAGGAAGCTGAGAGACAGAGACCTTTGACCTCATGTGGACTAGAGCCTTGAAGGTGGCATTGGAGAGATGCAGGCTGGGAGACTCAGGCGGCCCCACTGTCTTGACTCTTCCCCTTCCCTCCCGCAAAGTAGCTGGACAAAAACAAAAATCTAAGTTTTGCCTCAGTGGCGGAAAAATGACGAGGGATTTTTCAAGGGGATAAATGGATGGCAGGTAGCCATAGCTGTTCAGCCCAGGCCAAATCCCAATTCCTTCCTCCACCCCATCCCACCCTGTCCTGCAAAGTTTTTTTGGGGGGGGTATTTTTTGCCACTAACCTGCCCCTCCTTTAGGGCTGGCTCCGGGCCAGATCTACACTTACCCGGCTCGCTGTTGGCGGAAGAAGCGGCGGCTTAACATCTTGGAGGATCCTCGCCTGCGGCCTTGTGAGTTCAAGATTGGTAAGGAGTGGGTGGGCAAACAGGGTGGGGAGGGGGTGCCAGGGCAAGTGTAGAGCCCGAAGGCTCCCAAAGGTCATCCAGCCCAACCCCGGCAGGGCAGGAATCGCAGGGGATGGGCTGTGTGTGTGTGTTTTTAAAATACCGTATTTTTCGCCCCATAGGACGCACCGCCCCATAGGACGCACCTATTTTTTTGGGGGGGGAAATAAAGAAAAAAAAATTCCCTCCCCAGGCACGGGGCAGGCGCGGGGGAAGCCCGAGCTTCCCCCGACCCCAGCCCCCAGAACAGCCTGCTATCTGCAAGCCTAGGGAGCCGCGCCGGGCTTCCCCCCACACCAGGCTTCGGAATGCAGGCAGCTCTGTGCTACCCTCCGGAGCCCCGCGCGGCTTCGCGCCAGGATCTGGAGGGTGGCGCAGAGCTGCAGGAAGCCCGGGAAAGCCTGCATTCGCCCCATAGGACGCACACACATTTCCCCTTCATTTTTGGAGGGGGAAAAGTGCGTCCTATAGGGCGAAAAATACGGTAGTTTTCATTGAAAATTTCAACATGACAAGTTATCAAAACATATCATCTAATTTTCACCCTCCCATTCTTTCCCCCTCCCCAAAAAGAAACCCTCTCTCGCACCCCCAACCCCGAGACGTCCCTCAGTTCCTCTCTTTGATTTTTCAACACATATTATTCTCTGCTTATTATCAAACTGTCAGGATCCTTGAATCGTCTGTCTGTTATGTTAACAGCCAATAAGTTTGTGTATGTTTATTTGAAACCTGCCAAGGAGTCCAATTCATTTTGTTGTTTCCTTAAGTACTTTGTAAAGGGTTCCCATCATTCTTTAAAGTCACAGTTGCCCTTGTCCCGTAGTTTGTGCGTCAATTTTGCCAGTTCCGCATAGTCCGTCAATTTTTCTTGCCAGTGTGAGTGTGTGTGTTTGGAGAGGGGGGTGTCCGGTGCCCCCCCAGGAAAGTAATCTCAGTCTAGTAAGGTTGCAGATCAGAAGCAGAGCGGAGCAGGGAAAATACTTAAGATTGTAGCTAAAATACGGGGCCAGAAGGCTCTCATCATTATTTTGGCCTTTTAATAAATAATAATAACAAATTTTTATTTATACCCTGCCCTTCCCAGTTTAAAAAACCGGGCTCAGGGCGGCTAACAGCAAATATAAAACATGGATTAAAATGTGACTTAAAAACAGCATAAAACACAACATAAAATGCAGCATCAATATCAATAAAATTCAAAATTTCAGGGGTCATTTTTTTGGGGAGGGGACCCAGTCAGTAGGGGACCCAGTCAAATGATCACCAACTGGCCAAGTTGGTCCTACTAGGGCCAGCAAGGAGACCAGGGAAGGATTTAAATGTGGGGTCCCAGAAAGGGTTTCTTCGTAGAAGAGGAAGGGGGAAAGGGAATAGAGAATCAGGCTAATTCAAATTAAAGGCCAGGCGGAATAGCTCTGTATTACAGGCCCTGAGGAAGGAGGTTAAATCCTGCAGGGCCCTGGTCTCATGGGACAGAGCATTCCACCAGGTCGGAGCCATCACTGAAAAGGCCCTGGCCCTGGTGGAGGATAGTCTGGCTTCCTTAGGCCCGGGACCTTTAAGCTATTATTATTCATGGACCTTAGGGTCCATGTTGAGCAGGGGGACCTGGGGGTCCTCAGCCCCAGAAGGAAGTGCAAGAACAGCCTTTGACCCCTTCTCTAGGCTGCACACTCCCTGGCCCCAGTGACTTCCCAGAGGGCTTCAGCCTGGCTGGGATGTGTCCTTCACCTGAGACTTTGGAACTCTCTGCCTCTTGAAATCAGGTGCATTTGCTCTCTTCTCTTTGGTGCCTGATTTATTTATTTATTATTGTTTAGCCTATCCAGATATCTAGAAGTTACCTGGGTTTTATTTCTTTTTAGCTACCCATCTTCCTACATTTTTATTTATGATCTCAGTGTTTCATTTTATACTTTGGCAAACTGTTCAGAGGTTCTCTTGCAAGCAAGCGGCAAATCTAAATATTGTTAAATGAAACGAATAAATGGTGCATTTTGCTTGCCTAGATGGATGCTGGAAATGCAATTTTTTTTGGGGGGGGCACAGCGGCCTGCTTGTAGAAAACCTTGACTCTGACTGTACCTGGGGAAAAGCTCCTCCCACTTTTGCCTCTGGCTCCGCCCACCAGGAATACATGCCTCCCTGGAAGATTTCCCAGGGGAAATGCCTCCATTGCCTGTTTTGCTCAAATGGGCTCCTCACCCCTGGTGTAGTAGGCAATGGGTCTCCCCTGGCGGATTGGGGCCCACGACTTGGCTGCAGGATGACCTGCAAAGGCCGTCTTGGCCCAAGGCAGCTCCCATCAACGCAGATATTCCCTGCAGCCTCAGGGAGGATTTTTACCGAAAGTCAGTTTGGACCTTTGGTTCCTAAACTTTTCTGGGCCTGCTTGGTTCCATGAACTCGTCTCCAGTGCCCCCCACCCTAGGCAAAAAACACTATTGGGAATAGTGGTTCACAGGACCTCCTAAGGAAGATCACATCCCAATTGCACACTTATGAATTGCACACTTATTCAAAATGCGCTTGCAATCGGGTGAACTTGAGACAGCGATACTCGCTTTTAAAAGTTTGCATTGCAAGGGTTCGACTAGATGGACTTCAGAGTCCCTTCCAACTTTATAATTATATGGTTTTATGTAAGATTAACTGTAGAACTTTTAGAAGACACCTGAAGGCAGCCCCGTATCGGGAAGTTTGGAGTGGCTGATGTTTTATAATGTTTTTATATCTGCTGGAAGATGCGCAGAGTGGCCGGGGCAGCTCAGTCGGATAGCCGGAGTACAAATAATAAAACGATGATGGAGAAATTGATTATCTTTTACTCCTTCAGCCCCTGTTTGCCTCCCCCTTGCCTCTAAGCGTCCCTCTAGCTAATAATAGGGACGTGGGTGGTGCTGTGGGTTAAACCACAGAGCCTAGGACTTGCCGATCAGAAGGTCGGCGGTTCAAATCCCCATGACGGGGTGAGCTCCCATTGCTCGGTTCCCACTCCTGCCAACCTAGCAGGTCGAAAGCACGTCAAAGTGCAAGTAGATAAATAGGTACTGCTCCAGCGGGAAGGTAAACGGCGTTTCCGTGCGCTGCTCTGGTTCACCAGAAGCGGCTTAGTAATGCTGGCCACATGACCCGGAAGCTGTACGCCGGCTCCTTCGGCCAATAAAGCGAGATGAGCACCGCATCCCCAGAGTCGGCCACGACTGGACCTAATGGTCAGGGTCCCTTTACCTTTTTACTATGCATGCTCAAATTAGCTCTTTGTAGTTTTAACTTTAACTCTGTCCCAGGTGGGTTTTTTTTTTTAAATGCTCAGGGGAAATCTGATTGGTTCTTACGAACACTGTGTAAAAAGTTCTTTTGTGAATAAAACGACCTGGGCCCGAGTTATCTAGTCTAACCCCCTGCAGTGCAGAAATCAGCTCCACCCCAGGGGAGGTCTAGACCCACCCCCAAGCTGATGGCCTGCAGGAGGAGGATGGCTGCTCCCCCCCTGCCAGCCCCAGGTGGCTAGTGGGGGCTGGTGGGAGTTGTAGTTTTCCCCCTGGGGGGCGCCCAGGTTGGCCGGAAGCTGGCCTGGAGAATTGTGGGTCGGCATCTGTGTGCCTGTGTGCAGAGGGTCTCTGTGTTGACCAGATTCAGGCAGAAAGGGTGAATTGGGGGCTTCTCCTCCTCTGACTCGGTTTCTCTCCTCTCCCAGACTGTGAGCCCCCCTTGAAGAAGGAGGGGGGGCTGCCTGAAGGTCCTGTCCTGGAAGCCTTGCTGTGTGCCGAGACGGGAGACAAGAAGCCGGAGATGAAGGAGGAAGAGCTCATCCTGGACTGTCCGGTGAGAGAAGCCAGAACCGCCAGGCTCACCCCTAAGCAGGCCTAGTTCAACTGCGGAACTCCCTGCCACAAGAGGCAGAGGGTGGCTTTAAAAGAGGATCGGGCAAATTCATGGAGGAGGGGAGGGCCCAGATGGTTAGATGCCACCACAGATGGAGGCTGCGATGCTTCCGAATGTCTGTTGCTGGGAACCACAGGAGGAGGTGGCGCCCATGTGTTCGAATCCTGCTTCCAGGATTTCCCATATAACAGTCATCTGGTTGGCCACTGAGATAACAGGATGCTAGACTAGATGGTCCAGTCGCCAGGATCATATTATGTTGTTGTGGAACCTCCAGCTCCAGATGCAGTCTACCTGGATCCCTAGGTTCTATGGGGCATTTTCTCCCTGGGAGGACAGGAGGCTGGATTAGATGGGCCCCCTTTGGCCTGATCTTGAAAGCACTCCTTGGGTGCTCAGGAAGAATCCAATCAGGGCAGTGATCATTGGGCGGCCTGCTTCCTGGGTCTCTTGTGTTGTTGACTGCGAGAGGAGGGGTCCCTGCCCCTCTCACTTGTCCCTCTTTTTCTTTTATATAAATTTTTATTAGTTTGTTTTTTAACATACCATTTTCAACAGTAATTAAACATATTTTTACATCTTATTCAATTTTTTTTGACTTCCATCAGTCCAGCCAGGTGGGCGGGGTGTTGCTGTTTGTTGTTTAGTCGTGTCTGCCTCTTCGTGACCCCCTGGACCAGAGCACGCCAGGCACTCCTGTCTTCCACTGCCTCCCGCAGTTTGGTCAGACTCATGTTTGTAGCTTCAAGAACACTGTCCCATCATCTCATCCTCTGTCGTCCCCTTCTCCTTGTGCCCTCCATCTTTCCCAACATCAGGGTCTTTTCCAAGGAGTCTTCTCTTCTCATGAGGTGGCCAAAGTCTTGGAGCCTCAGCTTCAGGATCTGTCCTTCCAGTGAGCACTCAGGGCTGATTTCCTTCAGAATGGAGAGGTTTGATCTTCTTGCAGTCCATGGGACTCTCAAGAGTCTCCTCCAGCACCAGAATTCAAAAGCATCCATTCTTCAGCGATCAGCCTTCTTTATGGTCCAGCTCTCACTTCCATACATCACTGCTGGGAAAGCCATGGC